CCTCCGGAGTTGGGCTGTGCTGCCCGCCCTCCCCCTTGCCTGCAGGATCCCAGTGCTGGCCTGGCAGGTGCCGCTTTTGAAAAATGTGCTGAGGGGAAGCAGCTGTTTCCCCTGAACACCCCTAGCTACACTACTGCATTGAGCATGAAATGAGCTTTAACAATCTGTTGTGACTACTTACATTAAAGAAATCCATTCTACCTTGGTTTAGGAGAGAGACCACTAATTGACCAATAAGAATCTGGTGTTGCAGATCCCCATAGTGCAATTATTTTTTCTTCTCCATTGTCAGTGCAGCTTTTATTTTGGTGAGTTTTGCACACAGATGCAAAAATGTGGACTTGCGCATCCAAAAGTTCTGCAGCCCCTGGTCATGAGCCCAAGCCTTCATTGTTGTAGAAGATTTTTGCCCTTGGGAAGGATGTAAGATGACACCATATAATACACTTACTGAATATTTGTGAATCAGCTTCTACACACAAGCAATGACATGTGAACATGGGACTGTAAGGGCTGGATTCACAGGCAAGATAAATGCAGCAAAAGGCAATCCTAAAATTTGTGAACTGTTATGAGACTTCACCTAGACAAATAGTTATGAGAGACTCTTTTAAATACTCAAAATGTGTGACGCAGAGTTTGATGGAATGTAGGGAAATTCTTTCACTGCATCAAGTCTCCTGTAGCAATAAAGTAGCACCGGGGCAGCAGGTTTTTATATTTTTTGGTGACATCCAGAAAAGGTCCAAGGGAGTTTTGCTGTGGGAGGGGGCTTGGGGTCTGTACCGGGTTTACAATGGTGCCAATGGTGCTGTGGCACCAGGCCCACCCTGGGAAGGGGCCCATTACAGACCCCTGTAACCCATCCACATAGCTGGGTCTGGCCCCTCGCCTGGGGCAGTCCAGCACACAGGCCTTGCTGTCTTTTCACTGCAGACTTTGATCTTGGTGACCAATCTGTAGAGAATTATGAAACTGGTCTAGGGGAGATAATGTCTCAGGATAAAACACTGGAAAGCTGTAAAAAAGTTGAAGGCTACTATACGCTGGCATTGATCTATGTGCAGAACTCTCATGGACATCATTGGTTTTGTGCAAAAATTTAAGCTAGAATGTTAAAGAGTTTTTTTTTTTAAAGAGAGAAATACTTTAGTTCACTCTTTTATACATAAAGTGTACTCATTTCCATGAGACCCAGAAGTGTGACAGATACTGTGGATCAGATACAGGGCTGTATCTAAACTGTGCTTAGTGCAGTTTGTGAAGAAAAGCGGGGTAAAGGTGCTTTAAGGTGCCAGTTATGTGTTCTGCATCTCACTGCTGACTAGCTGCAGACCCAGTGCTCAGAATTAAGCAGTGTTCTCAGGGCTACTGTACTCTATACTAGTTTTCAATTGCCTGCTAAATCCTTCAGCCATGCCACCTTTTCACTTAGCTATATCCTGAATAGTGGTGACTGGGGGGATGGGGGAGGGGGGCGGGGAGTGTAGCAGATGCCAATTTGAGGTGAATATTCTCTTGGCCAGATTCTGCCAGGTGCTTTGTGCTATGGACTGGAGCACAGTGGCTGGTGAATAACCAAGAGTCTGGTTAATAATTATTCTCTAAATTCAGCTTTCTTCTTTCTCTCTCTCTGAATTATCACTAATTCAAAATAGTAGTGTGCAAGTTGACTGGATAATGGTAATAGCACAATCTCTTGTTATAACATTGTAAACCCTACTACCTGATTTTTATATTAAACACTTACTATACATGATACAATAAATCTGACAGAAACAAAACCTAGGAAAAGTTTATTCTTTCTGTGTCTTATTTAAAATTTTCCAGTAATCTCCTCTTGCTTCAGAATGCCTTATGCGTCACCCATACTGTTTGCAATAGGATTCAACCTGTGGCTTGGCTGCTGAGTCTTTACTGCTTCCTGAAGAGCTGGGAGCTCAATATTCATCTCAAATAGATACTATATGCAGAAGCACAACTCAGTATATAGGGTGGTGGTGGGGGGAGAATTATTGACCTTTGTGCATATGTAATAGTGTTTGGTGTTTGTAAGGCAAGGTATAATAATCACACTTCCAAATTGCAATGAACTGTGGAAAAGTTCCTGTTTGGTGTGAGAGATGTTACTTATACCTGTGTTGTAGAGATGTCTTCTGTTCTTAAAAAAACCCATGAATAAAGCTACTTTAAGGGAAATTACTGCTTTCTCCAACACCGAAGAGCTATGAGATCTTTGCTCACCAATTCTCATAAAACTTGTATTTGTCATGCCTTTTTGGCGACTTTAGGATTACAATCTATTATGAATAAAGTACATTTCATTGATTGATTTTTAAAATGAAATTAGTAACTGGAAAAAATGGCCAGTATTTTTTTTTAATCCTGTGACAATTATAAACTACTGTATTCTGTCATTTACTTTCTAGAATCAAAAGTATATCTAAGTATAATCTAAAGTTCTCCTGCAAAATGCTGGCTGTGCAAACCCTTCCCTGGCTGGATCATTCTTGTGTTTTTATTTTAAGTACAAAATAAATATGTATAACGAATTTAAAAGTATGTAATTAGTAATTTGATATGTCGGGTGGTGCCTTTTTTTAATGTGTTCGCTCCCCTGATGTTAGAACTTGGCTACGCCACTGCTGTAGGGGGCTCATTACCAGCAGCTGGGGGCCACCATGCGGGCTCGGCAGGGCTGCTGGACATGGGGCCAGTGGGTGTAGGTGGACTCGGTGGGATCTTGGGAGTCACGTCCCAGGGATCTGCCCTGCTCCCCAGCACTGCTCCAGCTCTGAGCTGTCTCCACTGCCTGGGACCTGTAGGGCCCCACCTGCCTCCCCGGGGGAAGAGCCACCTGGGACTGGTGCAGAGGCTGGGCCAGTCTCAGACAGTCACAGGAGAGTGGGGGGGAGGGGAGGCTCAGCTGGGTTCTGCCAGGCATGTGGGTCCTGAGGGAGCCTGGTAGGCTCTGCTCCTGCTCCAGCCTGGCTGATCTCACCACTCCTAAGGGGCCGGAGTTATCCTGCCCCAGGACCAGCTCTGGCTGCGCTGCTGGATCAGCCTGGCAGACACAGTCACCTCCCATCAGGGCCGGCTACTGTGGCCGGGGATTAGGGTATGGGAGAGTAGGTCTCTAGTGGGTCTGGGGGGGTGCTGGGCAGTGGGGGGTGGGGAGATCTGTGTGTGTCGAGGCGCTGGGAAGTGGGGGGGGGGTGTCTGTGCGGGGCACTGTGCAGTTGTGGCGGTGGGGGGCAATGGGCAGTGAGGGGATCTGGGGGGGCTCTGGGTGGGGAGGTGTGGGGCACTGTGCAGTTGTGGTGGTGGTGGGGCATTGGACAGTGAGGGGATCTGTGGGGGGGGTCTCTGGGCGGGGAGGTGCAGCGCACTGTGCAGTTATGGGAGGGCTGTGGGGGGTATTCAGCTAGGGGAGCACTGGGCAGTGAGAGGATCTGTGGGGGGGTTCTGAGTGGGTGGGGGAGTGGTCTGTGGGAGGGGGATTGGTGGGGGTGGTGGGGCACTGGGCATAGGAAGTCAGAGGGGTGCTGGGCAGGGGGGTAGCATGGTGCAGCATGGGCCCGCCCCCAAGGGGAAGAAGTGCCATGGCAGCGCAGGGCCGGGCTGCCCAGTGTGCATCTGGCAGCTCCCGGTTTGTACTGGGCTGGGTGGAGTGCCCTTGTACTGGGCTGGGTGGAGCGGGGCTGTCCCTGCCGTGCCATGACCCATCTCCCATTGCCCCCAGCCGGCCCCTCACTCTGAGGACTCTTCCCCCCTGCCCCATGTCCCCATTTCCCCCATGAGGGCTCACAAATATGTTTAGCACCGGGCCCACAAAAGGTTAATCC